TGCATCGCACGGTTAAATATGCGTAAAAGTTTATTTTTAGGAAAAATGTAAAAGAAGAATATAAAAAAGAATAAGATATTAGGGGTATGAAGTTTTATGATGTTATTAACAAACCAATGAGTTATATTGAACTTATTAAGAATATGATGGTGTTATTAAGAAAAGTAAACTTATATTATTGATATTCATTCATATAATAATAATAATAATAATAATAATAATAATAATAATAATAATAATAATAATAATAATAATAATAATAATAATAATAATAATAATAATAATAATAATAATAATAATAATAATAATAATAATAATAATAATAATAATAATAATAATAATAATAATAATAATAATAATAATAATAATAATAATAATAATAATAATAATAATAATAATAATAATAATAATAATAATAATAATAATAATAATAATAATAATAATAATAATAATAATAATAATAATAATAATAATAATAATAATAATAATAATAATAATAATAATAATAATAATAATACTAATAATAATAATAATAATAATAATAATAATAATAATAATAATAATAATAATAATAATAATAATAATAATAATAATAATAATTTAGAAGATATATCGGTTATGAGACAAACATATTGGAACAATTGGAAAAGAAATGACTAGAAAAAGAATGAAATAGAGGTCTACCGTAATCATAATTTGGAAAAAATAGAAAATTATTTAATAAAAATTGTGTAACATTTTTTTAGTTACACTTAAATGTAATATGGCGTGATCCGATATATTTAAGACTGAAATTAGTTTTATGAAAACACGATGAATGAGTAAGTACTGAAGTTTGGGAAATGATGCATAGCCATGTGTGTTTATTTTAAGGAGCCACAAATAGTTCATATATTCCAACCGCGTTTGGTAACCTTATTTTGAGCTTATCAACATTGTCATTTGATTTTATTTTTAATACGATGGTGTCATGATTATTGTGTAATAAGTGCCGCCTTTTTTAAAATAAAAATGTGTAATAAGCAAAAGAAGTAAAGTTGATGTTATTTTTAGCTAATTCATTTGAGTCGATTGTGTCTGAATTGACTGAAATTACTCAAAATGATATTTGAGCTATTTCAATATACAGAGTAACTTTTTTTAATTTCATTAATACAATGTATTTTTAATATAATAGTTTCATAATTTTTCATATTCAATCACTTCAACCAGAATTTTATCAATTTAATAAATCAATCGATTCAGCCAATTCCATCGCACGAAATGGGCTCGTCGTTTATACTATTCTTTTGTAATTCATACTCCCTCTTTTCCCTTAAAATTGTCTCATTTATCCTTCTCGGGAAATCCCATTAAGCTAGATTATCTCATATCAAATTTGATAAAGTTTGTAACGGTCTAAGACATTTTTATTTTTATTCTTATTTTATTAATTCAATATCAACCAAAACTTGTCAATATTAGTGCGACGGGTGTGTTAATATTTTCAATAATTTAAGTAGTTGTACATAAAACATTTGACTTTAAAATTATACATAACTTTAATTTAATCTAAATTCATCTTGTACGGAGTCTATTTACATGGGGTACATTGTTTAAAACAACACACGTGGAAGAAGCAATTATAGTAGGATAAGATCACACTAATAATCTTACGTATCTATCCTAATCTTTAATCAGTTTAATGTATGTAAGCTTACATACCCATGGGAGGAGTATTGGAAGCTAAGTTCAAAGGATTTTACAACATAAGTCTCTGTCTTCATGAAGATCGACCATCCAGAAATAAGCCTGCTCTTTTATGATGTACGTCACATGTTAATTTTACTACAAAGGGGCTGCCACTTATATGAAAACTTTAAGGCATTTTTAAGGGTTTCCTTCATATGCCATATAATGTTATGTTTCTATGCTAAAACTTTAATGTCCCAGTGGGAAGAGTTTCAGAAGATCAACAGATTTTGGCTTGTGTATAAATAATACCTATAAATGTTTGTTTAGGTTTCGTTAATTTTTGCCATTAACTTGATGCCACATGTCAACTTTTTGCTTCAAATGAAATGCCACATGTCAAAACTTCCTTCATTGTTCTTCCATGGGATTCCTTTATTATATTATATAGATATGTTTGATAACAATAAGTTATAGATTTATAACTTTTGTACTTTTAAAAATCACTGAAAACTTAATTGTTTGTTTTGTATAATACTTTCTATTGAGTATAGTTTTTTTGAAAACTTTCTATTGAGTATAGTTAAAAAATGCGATGTATTTTTTTGAGAAGTTACCCACACTCAGCAACTTCTAATAGAAAATTAATCATTTATAGCATTAGTCAAATGCAAGCATTTATTATTATAAATATGATTAAATTAATAGTCAACTTTTACCAAAAAAAAACTATAATATTTTCATTTAAAGAAATTTACTATTATTTAAAAAAAATACTATTATGACACTCTTTTTTTGGATGTGGAAAAACTATTCAATTTTTCAACTTCCATTAAGTGATGTCATCAAAGACAATGAGTCCAAGGTCATTTTAAATATAGAGGCCTAAGATACAATATACATATATACATATATACAAAAGTTTCACCATAAAACAAAACAAATTACACAAAATTATGTAAAATTGTCAACAAAAATATAAATAATTCTCAAAGAACAGAAAATGTTCCTAAATTAAATTGTTCAGTTAACTATATAAAGTTATATATATACACAAATGTATCAAACATGAGACACTTAGGCATTACACTATAATGAAAACTTAAATTTATACACAAGAGAAAAATGTAAAATTACCGTTGTTATTTGTTAAAGCTAAAAACTGAGAATTATTTTACTTTTTTCTCTAATTTATCTTCTAGGGGTCCACCGATAGAATGTTTAGTCTCATATGGAAGGTAAAAAAACTTGCTATATATAATGCAAATATCGAGCTTGATCTCTAAGAGCACGGTGCACGGTGCACGGTGCACATGTGGCATGAGTGATAGCCACATAAATATTAGAAAATAAATTATCTCTCTTCTTATTTAAATGGTTTTATACAATTTTGGTAAGTTTTTCCCTGCAATGTCAACAACAATGTTAACATCTAGACGGTTTCCTTGACATTGTAGAGAAAAACTTACCAAAACTGTATAAAATCATTCAAATAAGGAGAGAAAGAATTTATTTACTAATATTTATGTGGTTATCTCTCATGCCACGTGTGCACCGTGCACATTTTACCATTGGAGATGCTCTAAGAGCAACCGCAATGCGTGTGGTCTAGTGTAGGATAACACATGTCACCTCATTAAATTAGACATTTTGTACCTTAAAATCTCATTAAATTAATTGCACTCTGTTAACATGACCATTCGAGTGTAGAAAGGCCGAAGGACTTGCTGACTTTTTGTATTAAAAACAGTGCGCCGATGCAAGGTAAATAGAGCACCAATTTTTTTTTGGGAGGAATTCAAAATGCATGTTAATTACCTCCGTCTCTCTCCCAGTGATCTATTTCATTGATTTTTTTTATTCAAATCTAACCTATAAATTAAATTGATAACTACGTATATATAACTACTCCGACTTGTATCCTCGATGAAGCAGGAGAATTTGGACAAATATATGTATATAACAGGTATATATGTACTTTTTTAAAACAGAAATATGTATTTTTTTAATAAACATACATAGATGTATATTTATATAGGGAGGAATGATCAGGTCCATCCGGAGGGACGGGAAGTGCCGTCCGAACTTTACTGTTTGGAGTAGTTCCCGGTGGAATTTTTTGATGAAATTTTTTGAGCATGTTCCTCAAAAAATGAGGAATTATTTGAATGCCTTCCCGATCGAATTTTGAGCTGAAATTTGGTATGGATAAACTAGACTTGATGAGGAACATGCTCAAAAAATTTCATCAAAAAATTCCACCGGGAACCGCCTCAAACAGTAAAGTTCGGACGGAGCCTCCCGTCCTCCGGATGGACATGAGCATTTCTGTTTATATAGGTATGTGTGTATTTTTATATGGAAACTAATTATCCGTTCTTATGTGTGTATATAAATCCGTATAATTTTCCTTTATAAGGGAAAATGGAAACTAATAATCCAACCTTTTAGTGGTCTTCTTATAATAGTCCCACCTTTTGATTATTCATGAATAATCCAACCTTTGCACCACATCTTCATTCAATGGTCCCTGACCGGTTGATGACCTGCTATTCCAAGTTATTTTATTATCTTTGTAAACCATTATACCATAAATCTCACCTTTCACACAGATAATATTTTGCAAAGATAAGAAAACAACTTGGAATAACAGGTCATCAACCGGTCAGGGACCAGTGAATGAAGATGAGGTGCAAATGTAACATCGTCCCCAAATGTATTTACTTTTAAGTGAATAATGTATTGAACCTTGTGGAATGGTTAATGAGTATGCAACATTGTGAATTTTTATTAATTCTTGTGCTTGAATAGTAAATTCGCACATGGGGCCCACATCGGGAGCGGGGGCCGCCCGAAATTTCCGAAACCATATACTTTATTTATTTTGGTCAAGATAATAGTTATATGGTAGTGGACAATTTATTTGGGCCAAGGGAAAGGTATTATATGAACCGATTGGTCAAAAGTGGCTCAAATACCGGTTTTGGTAATTTCACGGATAACAGCCCGAAATGAATTTCGGGGGTTTATAAATTAATGTTGGGGAATGTATATTCATTATAAGGGTCATAATGATGGAGAACACATAATATATTTTATTTGACCCGATAAAATAAAATAAAATTAAAACAGTCCGAAAAATACAACTTTCGGGACCGATTGTACACTTCTGGACAAAAAGGGTTGACCTCCCACATGGGTGGGGGCCAACCCACGAATTTGGCAGCCAAAGGGGGCTGATTTGTGTCACACTTTAGCTGTGAGACAAGAGGGAGGTGGGAGGAAGCTATCAAGGTACCATGAGGGGGTCCATTTTCACATTATTTTGAGAGAAAAGCCAAATTGGCTATTCCCTCACTCACCCTCTCCCATTATTTCGGCCAAAGAGACCCAAGAGAGAAGGATAACTCTTGCAACCTCATCCTCCATAGCCAAGAACTGAACTCAAGCTTAAGGAGTCCAAAGAAGGGGTTTTTAAGAAGGGAAAAGTTGGGAGGAAGTGTGAAAGATTAAGGTAATAACCTTATATTGGCTTTTCCTTTACTTTTCTTCTACCATATGAGATATATATCATATGAGGAACTTTGAGGATTGTTCTACATGACTTAAGTGTAGAACGATGGGTTGGAAGGTAGTTCTAAGTCCAAAAACGGACTTAGGAGCCGAACCGACAAGTTCACCGGAAAATAACCTTTTAGAGGTTATTTGTATTGATTAAGGTTTTATGATGTTAGGACCTTGCTAGGAACTTGATTAGAGTGTTTTTGAGCTTCGCCGGAGTTTCACCGGAGTTGGTCAAAGTTCGCCGGAGCTGGTCAAAGTTCACCGGAATTAGTCAAAGATCGATCGAGAAGCGTAGAACACGCTTAAGCTCACTTAAGGTGAGGATGACCGACTATATTGCTTATAATTATTGGGTTAATTTCATGAGATTACCTAAATGAATTAAATGTGTTTGGCATGGTTTATTAATGATAAAAAGTGCCTAAATGAAATTAATATTGTTTATAAGTGAAAGTGCATAATATACAAATTATGAATAAATTGTGTATGATTATGTGTTATGAATAAAATGGCATGATAAATGTATTAACCATGAATGTTCATTGTGATAAATATACTTTTACCTCATGTAAAGAAGTCATGGAAGGATAAAAGTGATATTTTGATATTAAAGCCAAACTATACTTGAAGGTGGAATTAAATTGAAATATACGAACTATTATGAATTTGCACTGGATATATTAAGATTAAACGACTAGTATAGGATTACTAGTCGGAAATGATAGTTCAATAGTCTTGAGGATAATCCCAAGATATTGGAGCTAAGTAACCTTAAAGGATATTTTAAGGTGAACTTCATGAACCCAAGTTACGTTAGGAGTGGGCCTTAAGGGTTACTCAAATGGATGGAGCCTAGACTAAGAAATTGTTTAGGATTAGATGACGTGACTATGAGCCGAGCTCTAGCACGTGGTAGTATGACTATGAGCCGAGCTCTAGCAAATGTAGTATGACTATGAGCCGAGCTCTAGCAAAACGTAGGGTGACTATGAGCCGAGCTCTAGCACAAATTAGTATGACTATGAGCCGAGCTCTAGCAAACGTAGGGTGACTATGAGCCGAGCTCTAGCACAAATTAGTATGACTATGAGCCGAGCTCTAGCAAACGTAGGGTGACTATGAGCCGAGCTCTAGCACAAATTGATATGACTATGAGCCGAGCTCTAGCATGGAGAACATGAGTTAATTACAAATGAATAACATCTTAGATTGAGGGTCTTGGAAATTGAAACTTTGATTATACTTAGTATAGTTGTCATTGTACTTGTCAAATGCTTCCAAGTACTGACCTCCCCTTCACGGGGGAGGCCACCTCACAGTTTCAGGTAGAACTTGAAGGTTGCTACCAACGACGTTGCTCTCGGGAGGATCCAAGGAAGGGGAGGCGCGGTTCGTGCTTCCTCCGTTTCCATTTTTACAAAACTATTTAATTATTGCTCATGGATAATATTTTTAAATATTTATTTGGGGGCTTGTATGCCCATGTTTGCCAAGGTGTGGCATGAATACTCGTATTGAATGTTTCCACTGCTATGAATGAATATTTTACATTATGTTTGTTTATGGATGTACTATGTGTGAATGATATTCCAGACGCCTTGTATAGTATGGATGTGTTGGACTGCGGTTGACTATTCGTACTGTACGGCGGATTGTTGACGTGTCCGGTTAGGTCCGGGGCGTGACAATTTAATTGGTATCAGAGCCTTAGTCCGTAAACTTCATAATGAAGCTTCAAAATCTCTTTTTTGAAAAACGAATTTGAAAACCATGAGCATAAAAGTTTTGTACTTATAGAACTTTTGGTACTTGAGTTGCAAAGTCTCTAATTGTTAAGATGGTACCCTTAACAATTGGTATGGCGGTGATTTGAGCCAAAAGATGTCTTTAAGTACCTATCCGTCACTTGACATTTGATACGAGTCTAATGGCTCATTCTAAACTTCTTTCAGAAATGGAGCCAATTGGAAGGATCACTAGGAGGAACCCGACGGGCCGTGTACCGGGTGGGTCCGAACGCGGCAGCCGGGGGTCGACTAGGGTGTCAAGGGGAAGGGGCCGTGGAGGCCAACAACAAACCGTGAGCGATGGCCACGTGGACACCGAAAGTGAGACTTATTGGTCCTATGAGGACTCAACCTATAGGCCGGAAACCGAGCCAGTGGAAACCCCATATGATGGGGAGGATGATGATGTGAGTGGAGAGAGTGAAGACGATGGCACTCTCGGGAGAATCGAGGCGCTGCTCCAACAATACCACCGGGAGCGCGAAGAGAGAAGACAACGCCGAAGGCGCCGAGCGGGGCAACCTTCGGGCATGGCTTCGAGAGGAGGAAGCCAAGGTGCTTCTAGGGTCCATGTTGAACCACATGGAGGCCAAAATACGGGAGGTCCAACCATAAGGATCTCCAAATTTATCAAAGAAGCGCGAGATTTGGGATGTAAACCGTTTGATGGAACGGGAGACATCTCTGTTGCAGCCGAATGGATCAAAAGATTCAACGAAGCGGCCCTTGACATGCAGCTGCCACCCAACATGAAACTGAGGGTGGCAACAAGATTGCTCGAAGGCATGGCGTCCACGTGGTGGGACGGAGTCAAAGGAAAATACGGCGAGGCCGTCACTTGGGAGAACTTTCGGCAGGAGTTCTTCAACCAATACTACTCCGACTTCGAAGTAAACATGAAGAGGAGGGAGTATACGAACTTGATACAAGGAGGTGCATGTACGGTGAAGGAACTTGAGCACAAGTTCAGAAAGCTTGCCGAATTCATACCGGAGTACATATGTGATGAGAACCGGATGGTGAATCACTTCTGGGATGCCTTGGACCTTGACATACGCGAGAGGGCAACACAATTGCCTAATATGACGTTTAGTCAAGTGGTTGAACAAGGCCTGAAAGGAGAGAAGGAGTGGGAGGAAAGAAAGCGAAGGAACGCCGAGGAGGCGAAGAAGAGGAAGTGGGAAAGCCATGGCCCCCAAGGTTCTAACAAAAAGGGGAACCACGGGGGAGGGGGATCGTTCAGAGCACCGGCACCGCCATCCAAGGGAAACCCGGCTTTCGGCGGGCACAACTCGGGCTCACAAGCCTTAACGGCGCCCAGGTGCCGAAATTGCAACAGGAGCCACGCCGGTAAGTGTCGTGACCCTCCTCGGTGCTACCAATGTGGAGACACGGGGCATATTAAACCAAATTGCCCTCAACTTGGTGGGAACCGGGGGGCGGGATCAAGCGGCGCTACTACGGCAAGTAGGAGTCGGACCGGAGCACCCCATGCTAGTACGGGGCAAGGGGGAACGAGCACCAGCAATGCGCCGTCCGTGAATCAAGGAAGGACGCAAGCTAGAGTCTACGCAATGACCGAGGCCGATGCTCGGGCTGATCCCGACTCCGTCGCAGGTAATACACTTATTCTGGGCATTTCTAGGCTTACTTTGATCATATACGTCGTTGGAATTGAGTGCGGGCCACCCCGGGGTCAAACCGGGTGAGTTAGGCCAAATCAGGCTGGAAACAGCCACTGCCGGCCAGGCACGCCTGCAGGCACGCCGTGCGTGGCACCGTGCCTGGGAGGCAGTGGCTCCCCGAGGAAATTCGGTCAGGCATGCCCGCAGGCACGCCGTGCGTGGCACCGTGCCTGGGAGGCAGTAGCCTCTCCGAGGAAATTTAGCCAGGCACGGCCGCAGGCACGCCGTGCGTGGCACCGTGCCTGGGAGGCAGTGGCCTCTCCGAGGAAATATGGCCAGGCACGGCCGCAGGCACGCCGTGCGGGGCACCGTGCCTGGGAGGCAGTGGCGAGCAGGGGAACTCCTATGCACGCACGGCCGTGCGTGCCACCTAGGCACGCCGTGCGTGGACCCCCGGCAACCGAAAACCCATTTTTTCGCCCCGTTCTTTTACGTTTGGACCCCCGTTTGATTCCAAACATTAGTATGAACCTAATAACCTCCTAATGATGTGTAAAAACATTAGAAAAGGTATCTTACATGGTGTATAAATGTAGGAACATTAAAGATCAATGGTAGGTGTGCGAGGATCCTCATCGATACCGGGGTACAACGCTCATTCGTGAGTGAGGCGTTCGCCGAGGGCCTTGACGTGCCATTGGCGCCTATGACGCAAACATTACTGGTCTCCACACCGTTAGGAGATGACGTGGAGAGAAATCATTACTATCCATCATGTGAGGTGGAAGTGACGGGTCAACCCTTGACTTGTGATTTCGTACCTCTAAGCATGTTGGAGTTCGATGCGATCCTAGGGATGGATTGGCTAGAGAAACACCATGCCCGAGTAGATTGCTACACCAAGGTGTTGGAGCTCGAGGATGATCAAGGAAACACGCTATGTTTCGAGGGGGATCGGGGGAAATCTAATGCTTGTATCATATCCGTGATGAGAGCACGGAAGATGATGAGGAAGGGATGCCACGCATACTGTAACGCCCCTCTCAGGGTTAAAGGAAACGCTACACTAACTTACTACTTTTAAAAATAACTGCAATATAATGGCCATCTATTTAAGAAAATAACCCTGATAAAATCTCGAACATAACTAAATTATAGCTCCAAATAAAAATTCAATAAAATCTAGTTATCACCAAAAAATGTGATAACCACCTGGATCCAGGAATTTACTGAACTTCAAATCCTCAAATAAAAATAAAGTAATATTTATCACTTTATTATAACACTGAAATACTGAAAACTAAATAATATCTAGCTAGAAGCCGCCAAGGTCGTTCCCGTTAACTCATCTTGGCACGCATTCCACTCTCTCATCATCTTCCTCGGCCTGGGCCTTACCCTTAGCTTTAGTATCTGTACATGCGAAGAAACAAAACTGATAAGCTTTATGCTTAGTAAGTCACTATGGATCCACAAAAATATATAGAAGTCTATGCCAATTTATCAATAGATAAATCTAGGCTATAAACATGCACTGAACAAATAACTAACACATAACTTCTCAAATACATTCTGAGTGAGATCTCAAAAGGAAAATATTTTCTAAAATAATTTCTCAAAACTGCTGGAGAGATCTCAAAAATTCTTCTTAAAACATCTCTGTAAAACTTTCTAAAAGAGATCTCAAAAACATATTTCTGTAAAACTTTCTAAAAGGGATCTCAAAAACAACTTTCTCCGAAACTTTTTGAAAGATATCTCAAAAACAACTTTCTGTGAAACTTTCTGAAAGAGATCTCATTAAACTTTCTGTATAACTCTTTGTGGCTAATTTTAACTGTGGGCCCGTGATATGTACTCAAAGGCGCCAATCCGACAGCTCAGGGGAGCGACCCACTAAACATATCGGACTATCTGAAACTAAAACTGCTAATCTGAGGGAACTTGTTCCCGAGTACATATCACTTAATCTTTCACTTTAATTATTAGTTCTTTTTATGGTGACGTTTGACTAAAAAAAACATCATTAAATCTGGAAATAAAAGAATTGACAACATCTTGACTATGCCAGATAATAAACATAACTTAATGCAGCAAATAGGATAACTCGTCAAATAATTCAACAAGTTCACATAATAGCAAATAGACTAAAATCATCTATTAAAAATCAACCAGACTTCTTTCTTTTATTTGGTTGAACAAACATGTACAGGTGGTAGTGAACTTACCTGTTAGCAACTGAACTCAAAATGCTCGAATAAATGTGGCACCTTGATAACGTCTTCCGGCAAGTTCTTCTTAAACTCTTTAATTAAATATAATAATTCTAATAAGAATCTTATTTTCAAAATACAATGATCTGCTAGAGAAAATATGCTACTCATGTGTAGCAACCCACTAAAACTATCATCATTAATCTAGCTATGTAAAAAAAATATATAACGAACCCTTGCAATTGAATTTCCTGCTCCAAGCCACAACTAACATGATCCACTAAATGATCAAAAAGGAAACAAAGCTTTTCTAGCTTAGAAAATCATTATGCAGCTCGCCATTTTTCCCTATTTTGTGTGGTTAACTATATTCAAATGAAAGGACAACCAGCAACCGCTGAAATAACCCTTTTTTCAAAAATACAATCTTCTACAATTTTTTTTTTGGCTTACGAAAGTGAAAATCTAAACTAAGATTTATTGAAGACTTATTGGCCAGAACATACAGCTAAACCCACAATGACATCCACTATCAGTAAGGTAATCTAATTTGTCGAGATTTTAATAATATAAACAAGTATAGTTTACGGTTGGAATTGCTGGTGTACGGGTGATGTTTACAGAAATTGGAAAAAGCTATCAACAATTGGATATTCAAAAGCCAATAGTACTTTAAAAGAATCCTTTTGGGTATATCAATTTACTAAAGTGGAGCCTGATAGTGGAAAGCAGTACACTTGCAGTTTCAAAAAGGAAGATTTGATCTAATAACTTAAACCCAAAAATCAAAACCAACGGAGGATACTATCAAACTTAACTTGTACTATCGATAGACCCAATTGCTCACCCATAAGAAAATAAGAACGATGAAGATAGAGATTAGACTTACACGGCCAGAACAGTTTTCGAGAAGAAGTCGGCTAAGCAGAGTAGAGACAGATTTCTGATCTTGTTTGCGGCGAGTTTGGGGGAGAGAGAACTCTTACGGGAGTAAAGGGATGAACACTTAGCCGCTCTAGGAACTCGGTAAATGATATGCATATTTCTTTCTAGGGTTCCAAATACTGATTCAGGCCAAAATAACTTATTTGGGGCGTCTTAGACTTCTAAACACAAAAAATGTTTTTGACCCGACTAAATTACTGTATTCTCTCTTTCATAATTTATTGAAAGATATAATATAAAAATTAAAATAGTATTTATTTCTTTGATCAAATATTATTATGAACTTACCGGTCAACGTTACCTGCCAGAACAACACATGATCAAATAATAAATCACATTATTCATAAAATAAACTTATTTAACTGACGAAATAAAATAAAAGATTAATGTAACTAGATCGCTAAAATCGGGGTGTTACAACCCCTCCCACCTTATAAAAGTTTCGTCCTCGAAACTTAGAACAACGTGTATAATCTCACATTATTCCAACCTAAACTTCTCACTTGGCTATAGTAAAAGCGTATAGCTTTATACCTTTAACAAGGTTACTTCTTTATATTCGGAGCATGTAACTTTAAATTCAAAATGCATACTGGCTTTTCTTCTAATTACCAGACTGGTCGTAGTGGTAGTTTTTGGGGGTGATACAACTACTTCATATATGACCAAAACAAGGACCAAGAAAACTCTCACTATTTAAATCCACTTCTCACGATTTCTCATGGCACTACAACACAAAATCATAAGCTCCCGAGATAGTTTTTTGTAAACGAAATAGTTTGACCTCTTTGCTTAGAATTATGAAAAAGAACGACAATACTAAACTTTAACCTCGTCATAAAAACTTACCCCCCCCCCCCCGTACTACTAAAAACAATGAAATTTAGATTCACATTCTACCACTATGGTTACATAGGTCAAACTTGTCTTTTCAAAAAAAAAAAAACGTTTTATTCTCTGTCAGAGTTCATCCTCAAAATTGTTTGCACGGTGGGGAAGAATAAAGTTTTTCTCATTCACCATTTTATCGCTTTTGTCGAAGCGATAGCTTCATTTATGTTAAATTCTCTTTATTGTACTAGCCATCACACAACCCGTTCATGATAGCAGTGCTATGAGACTCATATGTAAGCCTAAAAACTTTATGGATGATTATACTCAATAATGATACTAACATAGTGTTATATGTTTACTGTGGGATCCTTGAGATATCTTTTCTTCTTATGCATCAAAAGTACTCAGAGCTAGCACATCATTTAAAATTTCAGGAAGAAAAAAAAAATCATTCTTATGCTATGTTACACTTATACTATTTGTAGTCAAGGTGGCTCTCCACATAAAAATCTTTTCTAAAGCATACAAGAAATCTTCATTTCTTTTAATAACCCACCGAAATCTGACTTACCTATTATATCAAAAGAAATTCTTTTTAAAGCCTAAAATAGATTAAACTACTAAACTCTTTTTCTTTTATCCACTCAAGCATTTCAAAATCATCTTTTCATCAAAAGAAAAACTTTCTTATGGTTCTGTACCTCTAAAACCAAAACTATAACTTCATTGATTAATATATCGAAGTAGTCAAGAAAACTGAATCTAGTTTATAATTAGAATTTTCTATAATCTTAAAATTTAAAAAGAACAGCTATTCCTAATAAGAAGAGCGTCAGTCTCCTTCAATCCTTGAACACAAAATTATTAAATGAAACTAAGAGTCTTAATATCTAGAGGAAAAAAAAAATTCTCCAGATTGATATGTCTTTTGTAACTAAATGTTCTTAGACTCCCTTTAGAAAATCAGTAAGTGGGTTAACGTTAAAATGTCAACATCAAA